CACACACACACACACACACACACACACACACACACACACACACACACACACACACACACACACAGCTGTATCTGTCAGATAGGAGCAGAGTGATTGTTTTGATTTGACTCATCACAGCTGCTCTTCTCCTCCTCCTCCCATAAACTTATCAGTGTTTTAGTCTCCCACTCTGAGCACAACAACCCTCTGCTATCTGCAGTTTTTATAAATAAAATGTGATAACATGTCACAGCGATTCATTCACGAGGTTTTCACACAGTTTTGGGATGAAGTGATTGTAAATGAGTAAAGACGAAACAAAGTTACTAAACGATTGAGCCTCTTGTGAGGAGGGGTTCGGCTCAGAGATAACAGATTTGACAGGAGAGTTTTTAAAATGATCTGAAATGAGGAAGTTAGGACAAACGAGGAACCACTTTCTGTTAGGTTGAGTGAATAAATATGAAATGTAAATTAAAACACAGAAATGTTTTACACTTCTGTCTTTCTTCACCTAATTTTCAAAGCGTTCTTTGACTCAACCAAGATGAGAAACACAAGACGATGAAAGAGAGAAAATCTGAGGAAAACAAAGGTTTTTGATTCAGAGGAGCTCCTCAGAACGATCAGATTTTAATTTCACGAGTTCACCGACAACAAAGACAGATTTTACTCATTAAACAATCCAAACCTGAGGGGATAAAACTGAACCTACAGCTGAGACGTGTCAAATATTTGCACAAAGAGCTGAGGTGGTCAAATACGCCAACCAGAAAAGAAGCAGTTAGTAAACCAAAAACAAACAGTTTGGTCTTTTTGTGGTTATTTTTTCAGTTGTGATTGTCTGCCTTATAAAAAAAAAGATACAAATAAAGTTTAATTTAGTTTGTGGCACAGAAACGGGGAAAAAAAAAGCTGAAGTTAAAATAAAATGGGGATGAAGAGGTGGGTGAAGGTACGGATCCCGCGAGGCGACATGGGGGGATTTTTTTTCTTTTGCGTTCCCACGCAATACTTTTGTGTTACCTCGCAAAATTATTTTGGATTCCCACGCAAAAGATTGTTTTGTATAAACGGAGCCCATGAGGGCAATGGGAGATTTTTTTCTTTTGCATTCCCACGCAATGGTATTGCGTTACCTTGCAATACTTTTTACGACTTTTTACGACTTTTGCGAGGGACAGCAATACTTTTGCGTGGGAACGCAAAAAGAAAAAAAATCCCCCATGTCCCCTCGTGGGCTCAAAGTATTGCGTTCCCTCACAATACTTTTGCGTTCCCTCGCAATACTTTTGCGTTCCCTAGCAATACTTTTGCGTTATCTCGCAATACCTTTGAGTTCCCTTGCAATACTTTTGCATTACCTCGCAACACTTTTGCGTTCCCTCACAATACTTTTGCATTATCTCGCAATACTTTTGCGTTCCCTCGCAATACTTTTGTGTTCCCTAGCAATACTTTTGTGTTATCTCACAATACCTTTGCGTTCCCTCGCAATACTTTTGCGTTCCCTCGCAATACCTTTGCGTTACTTCGCAATACTTTTGCGTTATCTCACAATACCTTTGAGTTCTGCTGGTTTCTGAGTTAAAGTCTGGGAGACCAGCAAACGGTCAGTGCAGCAAGACAAAACAATGTTCCGGTTTCTTTCTGATGGTTTGAAAGTCCAGATCTGTCGGACTCACATACGAAGAAAATAATAAATGTATGCTTGAAGGTACATCGACATAGAGAGAGAAACATAGTGACGAAAAAGAAGCAATGAGGTCAAGACTTGTGCTTCTAGTTTGTACCTTTGCAGGTGTCTCAAAGCTCATGAGATGGCCAACTGGTGGCCTGCAGGCCACATCTAGCCCACGGGGAACGTCTGTCCGGCCCACCAATGAGGTCAAACCTCTGTGTTTAGTTAGCTGGATTTTAATACAAGCTTACATGTCAACCCTGTTGGATGTTTACCTGCATCTTCACCCTCAAAAATTCGTAATTTTCACAAAAAAATCCTTAGTGCTCATGTACGATACAACCGGGATGGAAGCAGACAGTCAGCAGAGGGGAAAGAAAGAAAGTGAGGTTGAGACACCAGCGTCTGCAGCACAGAGGAGCAGAGAAAGGAGGACGTGGAGAGGTGGCAAAGGGAGACGGCCGTTGAATTTTACTTTTTGTGTTTTTCTGTTTTTACATCCTACAGGCTCTGAGATGTAAAACAAATTTAGAGTGAATTTGAAAATCTGTGTAATTTACAGGCTATCTGTACAAGTTGATATGTGCACGGTGCACAAAGCTAAATATGAGCAAGAACATAAACAACTGAGACTTTTTACACTTTACACTTGCATTTGAGCATGAAACAGAGTTGTAAAGTAACTAAGTACAAATACTTTGTACTTAAGTAGAATTTTTGGGTATCTGTACTTTACTTGAGTAATTATTTTTCAGCGTACTTTTTGTTTTTTACTTATTGTGTCAGTTTGTACATAAACAAATCATGTCACACTCCAGCAGGACACAATCGTTCAAATAAAAGGACTGTACTTAAGAAGTATTTGTATTTCATGAATTAAATTATTACATTTGTCCGCAGCCCTCAGATAGATTTTCATTTTGGGGAAAAGCTTTGTGCAGCAAAGTACATGTTGCGTTATATATACATATACATACATGTATATGTGTGTGTATGTGGCCTTGTTGATCCTA